GGTAAATTAGAACCTCCTTCATCAAAACAGTCTAAGATTAACCAATGAAATTTTTGATGGCATATTCTCATAACATTTCCTCAATAGTTTGAATTAAATATCTATTTAGAATTGACTCCTGAATGCCTTTTAAAATATAAATCTATCAAGATAGGGAGTAATATTAATTTTAATAACATTAATTAATGTTACCTCACTAAATAGAATTTTTATTATATCTATTAATATTCATAGTTAACTATTTTATCTGTAACATTTAGCATACTAATTTCCACATATTTCAATTTTTTTAGTATATATAATTTTTAAACATTTAACATATTCTGTACAGACTACAAAATATAACATCTTATATTTATGTATATGTATATGGTGACTTTGAGTCAATGTTGACTCCTGGGAACTGCTTGGACAAGTCCCTGCAATTTTCTTGGCAGGATTTTGGAAGTGGTTTGCCATTGCCTCCCTCCTAGGGCTAAGAGACAGTGACTGGCCCAAGGTCACCCAGCGGGCTTCATGCGTAAGGTGAGACTAGAACTCACTGTCTCCTGATTTGTAGCCTGATGTCTTAACCACTACACCAAACTGGCTCTCTACATCTATTAATATATCTGATCCCAAAGGAAGTAAATTAGATCTTCCCCAATTATTGTAACCCAAATATTTGTCAAATTGTTGAACCACCTATATCAACCTAGGCAAAGAAGTAGAGCAATTATCCAATATTGTCAAAAGGCTATAAAAATAATTTATACTCAGAATCTCCCAATGCAAGACCAATAATATCACAAGATTGCCTAACAACAAAACAAATCACTAATGATTCAAGAATTAAGTAAAAAAGCAATGGAAAAGGTGGGCAAACCTGATGGGTGCCCTGATGTAACTCAACTGGTCCAGAAATTAACTGATTTGATATTTTCCTTGCTGTTGGTTGCAAATAGTAAATTGAAATCCATTTAATAAAAGAAGGTGGGAATCCATATCTATATCTAAAACATAATGCTTTAGAAAATTAACCTGAACTATATCAAAAGCTTTTTCAGCATCTAAACTTATTAATATAGCAGAATCCAATCTTGAGCCATATCAAAGTATCTATTAATCATGACTGGGATGTATTATGATAATTCTCTCTGTAGTCACCTAGTAAACAAATCAATTAATATCTATTAGCATATACATTAATTAATTATACAGGTCTATAACCTGTGCAGAATTTAGTCTTTACCTGGTTAAAAGCAATAAAGCTGCATTAAAAAATAAAGCAGGGGTTCAAATCCTGGCTGGTACCTACCTTACCAGTAGGGGTCCTTGGGCAAAAGACCCCCTAACGCTTCACCTGCCTACCTCAGATATGAGAGTGACATGAACTAAGAAAGTCATGCCGGCTCAGACATTGCCCGGATTAATAAGGTTTGTGCAGATGTTGGGAAACCAGGACAATCTGACGATAAGCGGGCTAGTGGAACAAACCATACATGGATGAGACAAGAGAACCTGGAATTGATGGAATGCTACTATAACAGTAGACCTAATGAGAGGGTATATATGAAACGTATGAAGGAACTATGGATGGACAGAAGACCTACATCCACACTAAGAAACAGCTGGTTACCCAACACTTCAACATAGTGAAGAAGAACCTGCTCTCACAACTTTTCATAGACCAACTACACATTAGATCCCAGACTCAAGAAGACTCGGAAGAATAACTGGATGTGCAGCTAACACCTGAAGCTGGAACATCATTGCTACCCTCTCCATTGAAGAACCAGCAGTTAATATGAAGCATAACATCATGGATAAACTAGCTACAGTTAACCCTCGAGACCAATTACAAAGGTTCAGTGGAGATGTACCATCAGATAGTGTGCTAGAAGATACCAGTAGAGTCCTCACGACAATCCCTATCACCACCATCACTCAAACCAATGAAGTGGTATACACTATAGCCACTGTAATCCTGGAGATGTTTGACTACATAATCAAGAAGAGCAGCACTACACACAGGTGGAAAGAGAGCAGGCAGGGTCTGGTGAGTGTCAAAGCCACTGTCCTGGACATAAACCAGCGCATCCAAGAGTACATCAATAAGATGGCACCTAAAGATGAGTTGCTGAGAGAATGCTTGAAGCAGCAGCAGACATGGGAGAAAGTTCAAGCAGAGGAAGTGCCAGGGCAAGACAAGACCCTGCATGGGATGTACTATTGACAATTTGCTGAGGTGGCTGACATTGGGAAATCCTACAGTGGCTGGAAAGGGCTGCACTAAAAGACAGCACTGAGGTACTGATCACAGCAGCACAAGAACCGGCACTATGCACCAGGTCCATAGAAGCAGGGGATTACCACACTAGACAGGACCCAAAGTGCAGACTGTGCAGAGAGACCTCAGAGCAGAGACAGTCCAACATATAGTGGCAGGGTGTAAGATGCAGGCAGGAATAGCATACACTGAACGGCTCAACCAAGTAGCTGACATTGTGTACAGGAACATCTGCACAATGTATGGAATAAACTCTCCCAAGTCCAGGTGGGAGATTCCACAGAAGGTCATGGAGAACAGCAGGGCTAAGATCTTGTGGGACTTCCAGATCAAAATGGATAGATAGGTACTGGCCAATCAACCAGACATCATGGTAATAGGCAAGGACCAGAAGACAGTGGTGGTGATAAACATAGCAATACCAAGTGACAGCAATGTCAGGAAGAAGGAGTATAAGAAGCTGGAGCAGTACCAGGGCCTGCAGGAGGAACTAGAGAAGATATGGGATGTAAAGGCCAAAGTGGACCCAGTGGTGGTAGGAGCACTCGGGGCTGTGACTCCTTAGCTGGGAGAGTGACTCCAACAGATTCCAGGAACATCAGAGCTTTCTGTCTAGATTAATGCATTGCTAGGAACAGCTAAGATACTGCACAGAATCCTCAAACTTCCAGGCTTCTGGTAGAGGACCTGAAATTGAGGAATACACGTACCACCAATAAGGGTGAGAGGGTTTTGTTTTTTTTTTTTACATACACACACACACACACACACACACACACTTAAGTGAACAATATTGTCATGTGATAGCATGTAAACTTGTGACTTGATTTATATAATTACATCTTATTATCCCAAACCTTACAGATGAAATTTCAGTCTTTTACAGTTGTAAGACATACTGAGTGTTGATACACATTAGAAAGTCAAGATACCCATTTAAGACAAAGAAGTAATCAGAACCACTAAAATATTAACTTAAGTAAGTTAGTTCATATTTTATACCACCGTATGTCCTAAAGACTCATGGCAGTGAAACTAGCTGTGATATTTTATAAAGATGGGCATGTTTAGCAAACCTATCGTCTGCTCTATCTTTCCAAGTGAAGACATATAGCATATTTCTATGAAAAAGCCATAGCCTTTCACAATATTTTCTCCACCTCTTGGCAGATTGTCATGTGAGTACATGAACTGTACTACTACCAGCACTTAGTAAATAGTTCACTGTATTCATGCAAAATAACTGGTATTGATGGGGAAAAGAGTGAATTGTCTTGAGGAATATTGGATATTAATAGCATGCTTCTATGTTAACTAGATGCATATTAAAATATTGTAAGCCAGAGATGCCACTTATTCAATTCTGCAGTCCTCCTCACAGGATGGATTTGTTGATATATCAGAAACTCTGTCATGTGCCATTTTTGGATGCTTGTGGTTTGCAGGTCTTAATTTTAAAGGAACAGTGCAGCTATTAGGCATTAGGTGTCACAGCTGAATCATGCAGTAAGGTTCACATTAAATCTAGTTTATAAAAAGTAACAGGAAAACTTTTGAACATTTCAAAACATTTGAGAAAAAATGAGTATCAGAAATAAGTCTAACAATGAGAAAGAAGATTCTTGTTTCTCGTTTGTTTACTAAAATGTTATTTGAACGAGTATTAAAATCTTACTTTCTACATAGCGTTCTAAGCAGTTCAGTATAATTACATAAATAGTAATTATTTACACAATCTAGCAAATGAAATCAATACATAAGATACTAAATAGCACCAATTATGGTTTAACAAGACCAGTCATAAAGCTAGAACCCATAAAGCTTCACAACTTTAACAGCAGCAGTCACATAAATTATTTAAAAATCCTTGATCTTGTCCAAAAGGCTGTGAAACAATGCATAAATATTTAAAAAGAGCAGAATTATGAAATATGTGTTGAAATTAAAACATCTTTAAAAGGTAATACATGAGGGGAGCATCCACCATTTTGGCACTACACCAAGAAAGCATTGTCTTTTGTACCCTTCTTTCTGTTATCCTATGCAAGAAAGGTTGTATTACTTTATCTCAAAATTTTGGCTAGGGGACAATTCAGGAGGGGAGAAGATCATTGATGCAATTAGATCCTTAAGTACAGTTTCCATAATTGGAAACTGGATAAAAACCTTAAAATGTGTTTCATCCTTTCCTTCTTCCACTGAAGCGCTATTCAAATATACTTCTATTAGAGACACTTCTTAGTAATAAAATCCTGTACCAATATGCTATATTGTATGGCCATTGGAACCGTATATGAGTTGGCATACTCATGTTGTGGAACTTTTCTATCAAATTATTGCTAGGCCTGTAGAGAGTAAGTTATGAAGTAGGGGTAGCCCATGTTGATCAAGAACTTTGTGATTTTGGTACTGGCAACATATTGAAGTGGAAGTGTCAGAGGAAATAATCCAACATATGTAAGAGACGTGGGACCAAATATTTCATGTCTATTTCCTTAAATAAAATTTGCAGTAGTAATAAATATCTATTAGAAATACATCTTCCAATGAAATAAATGCAGTATTATGTACCTGAAATTGTTGTCTTGCTCTTTGGTATTTCACATGCCTACTTGACTCTACATTTTATGCTACATTATATTAAATTGTAATAATAATCCAATTGATGTATTGCTTTACAACTGCTGCTGATGAGGTCATACATTGACTATGTTTTTTTTCTTCTTCCTAGCCCATTGGTGCTCTTAATCCCAAACGAGCTGCATTCTTTGCAGAACGCTACGAAACATGGGAAGATGATCAGGTTCCAAAGTTTCATTATGGCACTCATTATTCAACAGCCAGTTTTGCACTGACTTGGTTGTTAAGAATTGTAAGTGTATATAGAAGTGTTTTTGTTTATATGTGTAAAGAAAGTACCAATGGTTAAATAATGGGGATTTAATATTTTAATTGGCAATCATGTAACTAAACAGGTTGTTTTTAGATAATCAGAAATAAAGTGATTATAATTCATAAAAATAAGTATGTACAAGCAAAGTAGAAAAGCCTTTCGGGTTTTTTTTCCAGTTTCAAACTTTGATTTGATTGTATGATCATTGTTTAACTTGGAATGTAATCTGACTTCTTCTCTAGATATAATAGAAAAACAGAATAATAACCCTTTTTTCAAATAAAGTTGTAATATGGTTGTAGATAACATGCAATTGGACAGATTTGATATATTGATGAAATGAACCAGGTTTCTGTAAAATACACTGGAATTATGATTTATCTGATAGAAACAAATTTCTTTGGGAAAGCATTAGCAGGATATCATTAATTAAGCCTTGTTAGATTCATACAAGCACACATAAATCCTAGAAGTAATTTATGGTACTTAGCTAATTTCAGGCAATTATCTTCTAATATGTGCTTAGGTATCTTTTGAACAAGAGGAGATTTTTCAGTTGTTAACATTTTTTATCCCATATTTATGAACTGTGTATGTAAGAAGGGTATGTGTGCAGGCATAATATTTCTAGGGAATATTTAGTTGAATAACAAACTGAAAGAGGAGATATGCTAATATCTGTTATTCAAAGATTACTCGTATTATGTCAAAGCCATTGAAATCTGTTGGATACCTCTGAAGATCTCCTTTAATTCCTGTCCTGTATACAGTTAGGTGTATATAAATGTTAGGTTGTATTATAGCCATAGTGGATACACTAATGGAATAATAGTATAAATACATAAAATCTGCACAACTTTTTCAGCAACTCTCTAAACAACACTGTAATGTAGGATTCTCTTTATATACTTTTAAAATGAACAACTCGCATTATTATTTATTTTTACTTATTTCCAGAAATAAAACATACCAGTCTGTTCAGACAAGGTGAAGTATTATATATATAAAAAGAAAACTGCTGCTGTCTCATAATGTATTTCATCTTTCTTTCTTAATCTTATTTCTTAGGAGCCTTTTACAACATTTTTCCTAAATTTACAAGGTGGCAAATTTGATCATGCAGATAGAGCTTTCTCATCAGTTTCAAGGGCGTGGCGCAATTGTCAGCGTGACACATCTGATATCAAGGTAAAGAACAATTTAAATTTTAAAATGCTGTAATTAACTTAATGATGATTATTTATATAAAGTGCTATCAGTGTGTGGTATTTTGAATAATATAAGAGTTCCCTTCTTTGAAAAGATTATGATATAACTTTCAACTAGATAATTGGGAATTGAACTATTTGTGTTTTAAACTTGCAGGACTAATATTTAAATATTTATAATTTATAGAACTGCTTGGTCAGCTAAGCAATTGATTTTTGTATATATGAAATATATGATATGAAATATCATATGATATGATATATGAAATATATGAAATATGAAATTTGGAAATAACTCCAGTTGAATACTATTGGTTGGTGATATATGTGTCAAACTATGTCAGTGAAATCTTTTAAAGCTTATAGGTTACTCCTCAGCGTTGATGTAAAAGAATAAAAAGATATGTTCCTCAGCTCCTGAACATTTTTGCACTATTACATGGAACATAACATATACTGAGATCAATGAACAATGACTATTAACATACACTACCCAAAATGCTAGTAAAATAGCAAAGGTGGGATATCTGTCACAAAGTCATAGCAAATCTAATTCATGTGCCTCTGAACTCTAATAGCATTTGCCAAAAGGGCAAAGTAGCCACAGACTAACATAGTTTTCTTGAAAGAAAATTAAACATTATTTCATAAAAGAATGACATGATGTTCACATCAAAGTAAAGGACAGATTCATCAACTTCCAGGATTAAGATCTAGATTGAATCATATTTTAATGGCCTGATGTCAATGGTACTTTTTTTTTCTTTTAAGGTCAAAAGTTATACATTCAGAACCTTAACTAAAATAGCCATTTGAATCTAAGATGGTATAGCAAAAAGCTTTCCCCCCCAACGCATCTCTGTAGAGCTATTTACTGTATATGAATCAGGAAGCTTCCAAGCAAGGGCAAGCCAGTCAGGAAGGCCTTTTAGTCTTGCAAGACTTCCATCTTATTAGACTTAAACAGTCTCCAAAGTTAGGTTGTGACTTGAAGTTTTGTGATTCTTTGGATATCCCACAGGATTATTGGCATATCTAATACCAGTCTTAAATTACGGTCAATGCTGGACAACAGCAGAACTAAATCACTTATTGTTTTAACTGAAGGGAAGCTACTGGGTTTTGCTATTCACTTTTTCCCCTAGTTGTTCCAAGGCTTTTGTTTGTTTGTTTTATAATGACAGCTCTTCTTGTCTAGTGTTAGCATATTCTATCTGAGCTTTCACTGTTCACATAATTTTAATCTCAGTATGCGAGCTATGGGCAGTGCAGATTCAGATAAAGGAATGCTTTTGCTCTGTTTGAGGCATCTTTGTGACACTATCAGGCTGAAGTAACTCATGATGGGTGTGGTTTCTAATAGTGATGGTATTGTTTAATCAGCGCTCACTAGCTTCTTTTGAAAATATATCTCTTTGTGAGCAAGAAAAATGAAATAATGATGTCACCTGGTTATCCATGGTATCTCAGCTAAACATGGGAAAATGTGTACATTACCAACACTAGCTCTATTAGTTTATTAGCTTTATTAAGTGTCTTTAATTAATCATGGCCTCATTCTGTTTTGTTTTTAATCTTTTACCTTGCAATCAGGGTTCTTAAACTGCTAAAGTTTTGTAATTATTCATAACGGACAACCTCACTTACACAGGAAGTTAACAAAAAATTTCTGATAAAGTATCTCTAGGAGATCTAAAATTATGGGAAATTGTAAATAATATTTGAGAGAATTGTAATTCATGTAAACATGTTCTTAATTAAAATTGTTGGAAATCATTGATAGATTTTGATTAATAAATGTATAGTTAACTGCAGATGCATCCTGAACTCTTTATATGCAGATGCTAAGATTAAACATTTTTGTCCTCATCCTGAAACCATGAAAAAAATATATATATACTAGCATGGAATGAATGTGCTTTCATATAATCTATACAATATTCAGGTTAGATTAGGGTTAGGGTTAGAAAAAAATGATAGGTCAAGTATAGTGAGGAGTTGATTTTTGACAATTCTATGTGGCCAATCTTCATACCCAAGCTAGGCAGTAAATAATCAATCCCTAGATGCTTAAGCCTTAGTTGACTTGTTAGAAGATTCCCATACACAATCCATTCAGACAAGAATCTATATTGCAGACTCTACTGTCACATAATCATCAATGGTTGATTGCTACACTGCAATGCAACATGTCAGACTTATTTATATATATTTTCAGTGTTTAAATTTTAGGGTCCTTCCTCTTTTGAATTAATGGATACTTGACATGTCACTTGATGGCTTTGGACAGTTGAGATATATTTATATAATGGCCATCTCTAGCCTGGGAAGTTCCCTTCTCACTAGCTTCAGCCTTTACATCCATTAAGAATTTTTTTCAATTAATCTGTTAATACATTATATTACATATATATTGTAGAATATATATTCACTTAGTCAAAACACATTATAGAGCAGGTAACCATTTAATAATAATTTTAAAATGCTGTAGATTTAAAAACAAAATATTTTTTATTGTCAATGTAATTATGCTCTAATTAGCGTTTACTAATGCAGTGAATATTTATTTTCTAGATTTTGCTTATCACAGCAGTATCTAAATTTTGTAAAAAGTTTACACAATTATGTAAGGATTTATACATCAATATAATTTTTGAATAATTTTCATTGTGTACTATATGTCTCCCCCATCTTATTTTCTCCCAGATACAGATAGATTATGACCATAAGTGCAGCCAACATACCAAACAAGTTTTGAATTCTAGGAATTCCAAAATATATGGAGTGAACAGGTTGAAGAAAATTGGTATAGTGTGGTACAGATGGTGGATAATTTCTTTCAGTTTAGAAAAATGGCATAGCAAAATTGTTATTAAGCATTTCTTTTCGTAACTTCATTTCATACTCTTAATAATTGAGATATTAATATGTAATAATTACTGTGGGTTCATTTTTCCTGGTAGTCCTGTCATCTAAACTATTCCTTAACTTATTAAATATATTTGGATTATCATGTTGTATGCAACTACTTCAAATAATGTAAAACCACCATTTTTGAAACAGTGTCTTTAACTTACACATTTTTATCTGAAACACTAGACTCTAATTGACTAATCATTCTAATAATATTCTAAAGGTTCATAATCATTATTTTGTATATATTGTATATATATTGTATTCAATCTTTCAAACACAGTTTTGAGTGTCAAACTCGAATGAATGAATGAATGAATGAATGAATGAATGAATGAATGAATGAATGAGTGAGTGAGTGAGTGAGTGAGTGAGTGTGTGAGTGTATCAGGCCCAATCCAAGAACAATATGGAAACAATTCATCAAATTCAGTTCTTTTATTGCTTATACCATATAGACAGAATCTTGCCAGACTAAATCTATACTACTGCAACTAGTGAATATACCCTGGGAGAGTGGCTATCCTGAACCTCTTATGCTTCCCACGCTCTAACTCCAGACTATGTTGTCTTTTGTCTCTCTGCCCTTCCTGGAATGCACCCCCTCCTTCCTGATAGCCTTGCTCTGTACTGCAATCCACCACAGAGTGAACTTCTTTTCACCTGATTTGGAATGGGTATAACACAAATATGTTAATTTGTAATTATTAATGATGACAATATAAACAGTTGGAAATTTATTTTGAATTATATCCTGCCACTTCTTGCCACTAACATGTGCAACAATATAGGATTGTTATGAGTGATTAGAATAGTAATCACTCATAACAATGATCTTACAATATCTCTGTGCCTCAGAATTAAGACTTAAGCATTGACTTAACATGCAAAATAGATGTTACTAGTATGCATGGAAAAAGTAATTGTGGCTTCTGAGAGGAGCTAAATTCTAGAATAATCACTTGGGGAAGATAGTTTAAGATTTAACAAGCCAGAACCTATACATAGCTTCTGCATTTACCTGTGTGTGTAGATCAAAGCAATACTTTGAGAGTCACTGTTGGATGTAAGGAGAGGCAACACCACTGTGGAAAGGATGAATTAAAAGAGTATAATTCTGCCAGTCTGCATCAGACCAGAACTGTAGTTAGCACATGGCACTCAAAAGTGCTTGTTTGTGTGTGTGTGCCTTTGAGTTAGTCCCTGCAGTTTTTTTGGCAAGATTTCAGAAGTGGTTTGCAACTGGGACTGAGAGACAGTGACTGGCCCAAGGTCACCCAGCTGGCTTTACACATAAGGGGGGACTAGAACGCATGGTGTCCTAGTTCCTGAACAATCTCCAAGTATTGAGTTAATTGTTATGGTAAAAGAGTGAAGATACAATGCTTAATAAGTTTCAGCTAGGATTGTTCGTTATGAGGAAAGGAAGCATCCTGAATATTAAAGAGAACCAGTTTATAAAAAAAAATCCATCAACCTACATGGTTAAGGAAGGACAAATATGAAGAAACAGTTGCATTGACTGGAAGGAGGAAAGGCAAGAAGAAAAGTAGCCAATTTCTTATTGGACCCATTTCTTTCTCTAACACAGATCAGTTAGTTACCCAAGCCTCATAGGATTGTTGTTGTAAGGAAAAATAGGAGGGAGTGCTATATATAGTACATTGCTTTGACTTCCTGAATGTAAAGTCAAGATATAAATCTAATGTATAAATAGTGATGATATGTTTATCAGTGGACAACGCTACAAGCAGAGACACAAAATGCAACATCATAGTCATGTAACAGTAACTGAAATATCGCTTACCTCCGACATGCCATTCTTTCTATCAGCCCAATTAGTTTCATTTATAATGTAATTGTAGTATCAGGATCTGGTATGAGGGATGATGATGATGATGATGATAAGATGAATACAATACTTATTTAAAGAACCTTATTCTTTTAAAGCTTGCTTTTGACATGTAGTGAATTTGCCTAAATTCATCTCATCCCCGTACAACTTTGTTCAGAAGAGTGTAACTGTCTTTATTTGCTATATGATATATCAGATGAAAATTATCTGCA